CATACATTATTTAATTTTTAATTTTTTTCATACTGGCCCCCCGTGGGAATCGAACCCACAACCCTGGCATTGCAAATGCCATGTTCTACCAACTGAGCTACATCCCTGCCGGCCATTCCCATTCCCTCCCCTACCCTGGACGACGCTGGGCCAATTGTGCGCCGCCCCATGGGTCTCCCAGTTGCGGCCGGCTACGACAGAGCCTGGATTCAAACCAGGATCTCTAGTGGCACAGCTAGCACTGCGATGCAGTGCCTTAGACCACTGCGCCACTCGGATGATGCGGATGCTACGCTACAGGACTGTTTTGCTAGCACAGACTGGAATATGTTCCGGGATTCATCCAATGGCATTGAGGAGTGTACCACCTCAGTCATCGGCTTCATCAATAAGTGCATCGACAACGTCATCTCCACAGTGACAGTATGTACATATCCCGCTTTCAAGGAGCGGGACACTAATCTGGACGATTATAAGAAATTCCGCTACGTCCTCAGACGAACCATCAAACAAGCAAAGCGTCAATAGAGCATTAAGATTGAATCCTACTACACCGGCTCTGACGCTCGTCGGATGAGGCAGGGCTTGAAAACTATTACGGACTACAAAGGAAAACCCAGCCGCAAGTTTCCCAGGGACGCGAGCCTACCAGACAAGCTACATTTATTTTATGCTCGCTTCGAGGCTAGCAACACTGAAGCATGCATGAGAGCACTAGCTGTTCTGGATGACTGTGTAATTACACTCTCGGTAGCCGATGTGAGCAAGACCTTTAAACAGGTCAACATTCACATAGCTGCGGGGCCAGACGGATTACCAGGACGTGTACTCAATTCATGCACGAACCAACTGGAAAGTGTCTTCACTGACATTTTCAACCTCTCCCTGACCGCGTATGTAATACCTACATGTTTCAAGCAGACCACCATAGTCCCAGTGCCCAAGGAAGTGAAGGTAAGCTGTCTAAATGATTACTGCCCCGTAGCACTAACGTCAGTAGTCATGAGGTGCTTTGAAAGGCTGGTAATGGCTCACATCAACAGCATCATCCCGGATACCCTACACCAGGGGTGTCAAACTCATTTTAGCTCAGGGGCCACATGGAGGAAAATCTATTCCCAAGTGGGCCGGACCGGAAAAATCATGGTATATATAACTTAAAAACAACAACTTCAGATTGTTTTCTTTGTTTTAATACGATCAACATACAACATAAAGCTGGAGCCTGAGGACAGTGTGTCCAAAATAGTACAAGCACAACATCACTATTAATCATAAAACACGTCAAGTTTATTTGAAAATTCTAAAGAAAAAGAACACACAAACACACAATGCCTCAGTGATTAACAGAACTGTTTCACAGATCACAGAACTATATCAGGGTGTCATTTCTCAGGCAGAAATGTAGATAAAAATAATGAAATCCTGTTCCCCAAACAAGTGCAAGAACCACAGAGTCAAGAATAGGTTAAATATACAAATAAAAGAAAATCAATTAAAAACAATAGCACATCAACATAAAAACATATAAACATAAATCTGAAAGCGTTGCTCAAACTCCCGTAACAGTCCAGTTATTTTATCTTTGAACCGCTTCATGTCTGCCACATGTTGGGTCGCGCACACATTTTTCAGACAGGGGAAGTGAGCTGCATCACCACCGGCAAGTTGCGTCTCCCACAATGACAGCTTCAACTTGAAAGAACGTATGCTGTCATAATACTGCGTGACAACTTTGTTGCGCCCTTGCAGCTGTTTGTTCAAGTTATTCAGGTGCTCTGTAACATCCACCATAAATGCAAGGTCCGGCATCCATTCTGCAGAATGAAATTCTAACACTGGTTTGCCCTTTTCTTCCATGAACTGTTCAATTTCTTCTCGTAAATCAAAGAAACGCCTCAGCACAGCACCTCGGCTTAACCATCTTACCTCAGTGTGGTATGGCAGGCCATAGATGTGGTCTTTCTCTCTGAGAAGGCTGTCAAACTGACGGTGATTCAGGCTTCTGGATCGGATGAAATTAACAGTTTGGATGACCACCTTCATGACGTTATCCATCTTTAATGACTTGCAACACAAAGCCTCCTGGTGCAAAATACAGTGAAAAGTCAAAAAATCACGTCCTCGATTTGCAGATTGCACTTTCTCTCTGAACTTTGTCACAACGCCTGCTTTTTTCCCGATCATTGAGAGTGCACCATCTGTAGCCAGGCTGACAGCGCGGGACCAGTCCACTCCGACCCTGTCCAGCGCGCCAACGAGTGCGGTAAAAATATCAGCTGCTGTCGTTGTATCTGTCATCGGCACCAACTCCACGAACTCCTCGGTGACGGTCAATGTGTCATCAACTCCGCGGATGAAAAAATTGCCAGTTGTGCAACATCTGTAATGTCCGTGCTTTCATCAATTGCAACCGAAAACGCAATAAATTACTTTACTTTTTGCTTCAACTGGCTGTCCAAATCCACTGAAAGATCGGAAATCCTGTCTGCAACTGTGTTTCTTGTCAGGCTGATATTTGCAAAAGCCTGCCGCTTTTCAGGGCACACAATCTCCGCTGCCTTCATCATGCATGTTTTTACAAATTCACCCTCACTAAATGGTTTTGAAGCCACTGCGATTTCATTAGCAATGAGGTAGCTAGCTTTCACTGCAGCGTCACTGATGTCTCGGCTGTGAGTAAACACAGACTGCTGTTTCTTCAGACACGCCAACAGTTCATTCACCTTCTCTCATCTCCGCTGTCCTTGAAAGTTGTCATATTTGTTGGCATGAAGACTCACATAGTGGCGACGAAGGTTATATTCTTTCAGCACTGCAACATGCTCTGAACACACCAAACATACAGCTTTCCCATTCAATTCCGTGATTAAATAGGATGACCATTTTTCTTGGAACACTCTGCACTCTGCGTCCACTTTTCTCTTTTTTGACAGAGACATATTGGGGCAATGAGGGTGCCAAAGCACATAATGTTAAAAGTAGAAGCCGTAATAAATATCGCGGGCAAAACAAAGTAGCTCATTGGCTGCACGTGCTTGACCTACTTGCTCTGCCCCGGTATAAACAGTTTGCTTGCTTAACACAATTGCTATTGCGCCATCCAGTGGACGCAATTGGAACAGCAGTTTATTTTATTGAAAAATTGCAGCGCATTTTTATACTTAAAAAAATATATATATATATTTTTTTTTATTTTTTATTTTATTTTATTTTCGAAATCATCTCGCGGGCCGGATTAAACCCGTTTGCGGGCCTGATCCGGCCCGCGGGCCGTACGTTTGACACCCCTGCCCTACACCCATTCCAATTCGCATACCGCCCCAACAGATCCACAGATGACGCAATCTCAATCGCACTCCACACTGCCATTTCCCACCTGGACAAAAGGAACACCTATGTGAGAATGCTGTTCATTGACTACAGCTCAGCGTTCAACACCATAGTGCCTACAAAGCTCACCACTAAGCTAAGGACCCTGGGACTAAACACCTCCCTCTGCAACTGGATCCTGGACTTCCTGACGGGCCACCCCCAGGTGGTAAGGGTATGCAACAACACATCTGCCACGCTGATCCTCAACACTGGGGCCCCTCAGGGGTGCATGCTTAGTCCCCTCCTGTACTCCCTGTTCACCCACGACTGCGTGGCCAAACACGACTCCAACACCATCATTAAGGTTGCTGATGACACAACAGTGGTAGGCCTGATCACCGACAATGATGAGACAGCCTATAGAGAGGATGTTCGAGACCTGGCAGTGTGGTGCCAGGACAACCTCTCCCTCAATGTGAGCAAGACAACAGAGCTGATCGTGGACTACAGGAAAAGGCGGTCCAAACAGGCCCTCATTAACATCGACGGGGATGTAGTGGAGCGGGTCGAGAGTTTTCAAGTTCCTTGTTGTCCACATTACCAACAAACTATCATGGTCCAAACAAACCAAGACAGTCGTAAAGAGGACAACACCTTTCCCCCTCAGGAGACTGAAAAGATTTGGCATGGGTCCCCAGATCCTCAAAGTTATACAGCTGCAACATCGAGAGCATCCTGACCGGTTGCATCACTGCCTGGTATGGCAACTGCTCGGCATCTGACCGTAAGGCTTTAGTGTAGTGCGTACGGCCCATTACATCACTGGGGCCAAGCTTTCTGCCATCCAGGACCTATATACTAGGCGGTGTCAGAGGAAAGCCCAAAATATTGTCAAAGACTCCAGTCTCCCAAGTCATAGACTGTTCTCTCCGCTACCGTTTATTTGGTAAATACTTTCTTAACTCTTTCTTGAACTGCATTGTTGGTTAAGGGCTTATAAGTAAGCATTTCACGGTAAGGTCTACACCTGTTTTTTCGGCTCATGTGACAAATAACGTTTGATTTGACCTCATGGCTTTGCTCTGACATGCACTGTCAACTGTGGGACCTTATATAGACAGGTGTGTACCTTTTTTGTGTCCAATCAATTGAATTTACCACAGGTGGACTCCAATCAAGTTGTAGAAACATCTCAAGGAGGATCAATGAAACAGGATGCACCTGAGCTCAATTTCGAGTCTCATAGCAAAGGGTCTGAATACTTATGTAAATAAGGTGTTTCAGTTTTTTCTTTTGTATACATTTGCAAAGAAATCTAAACTGTTTTGCTTTGTCATTATGGATTATTGTGTGTAGATTGATAGGAAATTGTTTTATTTAATCAATTTTAGAATAAGGCTGTAACATAACAAAATGTGGAAAAAGTAAATGGGTCTGAATACTTTCCGAATGCACTGTATATATTGTATTTTTTGGAGCATACAATACAGCTCAGTATTTGAATTATTTATTTTATACAGTATTTTTTGCTCATCTTTAACGAGGGTGCCAATCATTTTGGACCAGACTAGCTTCCTCCAGGGAAGCAAAATGCAATATTTTTAGATCCATTCCCCTCTCTTTCTCCTATTCATCTCTCTTCAAACCCACCACTGACCCATTCTCCCTCCTCTCCTTATTTAGCCGTTCCAGACCCCCCGGAGGACCCAGAGCTGGTCAGTAAGCGTAAACAGGGGGTGACCCTGTCCTGGTTCACACCCCTGAGTGACGGAGGCAGCCCCATTCTGGGTTACAGGGTGGAGATGAGGATGGCGGACAGCGCCCTCTGGCTTCCGTGCCATGCAGAGCCTGTGTGTAACACAGAGTTCTCTGTGGATAACCTCAACCCAGGGAGCGGCTACAGGTTCAGGGTGGCAGCCATCAACAGAGCTGGGACTGGAGAACCTGTCCAGCTGCCTCAGAACGTTCAGCTGGGTGAGTTGGCTATATGATGTGCTCAAACCTGAGCCAACAAAGATATTTCTATATGGCTCTGTCTCAAGCCCAGCTTGTTGAACAACATAATTATAACTTAGCCTAGATAATGTATGTGTTAGTTACATCATTTGGATACAACCCAGGTGAGTCCAATACATTTACCATTGGCATGAATTGTATATGTAGTGTCCCATTTATTGGAAAAAATATATCAATCAATCAATTGTTTTGTTCCACAGAGGCTCCAGTCACAGTGACCCAGCAGTTGGCCTGTCCAGACTTGCAGGAGGGTAAGATGGCCCGTGTGGAGTGCCAGCTCTCTGCTGAGGGCAGCTCGGTCACCTGGCTCAAAGACAACAAGGAGCTGGAGTTTGGGGTCAAATACCAGGTCACCATCGAGGGCAAGACACAAGTGCTGCTGATCAAAGACTTTGAGTCTGCTGACCAGGGCGTGTACACCTGTGTGGCCTCAGACGAGGCAGAAAGCTCCATTAATCTCAACCTACCAACAGGTACATACTCCCAAACAAGCCAGAATATTATACCATGCAACTTGGTTTTTCCATCAGCTCGCATTTATTTATTGTGAAACTCTTGTAAGCTATTCTCCTCAAACCGAACTGGAAGCTTGGTGGAGATGTGTTTGTTATTTGAGGGTTAAGTTAAGGTAAGTTGGTCAGCTAGTTCTAGCAGATAGTGATGGTGAGCTCATTCCTCAAAAAGATGTGTGGACACACTACTCCTATCAGAAAATAATCTAGTCCTACAGTTATTTACCACTACATGATCAATATAGATCAAGTTCTTATAGATGTAGTGTGTGTGTGTGTGTGTGTGTGTGTGTGTTTTGGGGCTGCTATACTATAGATGTTACAGGTGTCAGTTTGCTGCATATAACATTCCATTGTGACCTGGTTGTAGGTGGAGATGGGGTTAAGTTGGAGGAGGGGGCCCAGCCCAGCCTTCCTCCTGAGGCTGCCTCTGAGGGTGATGTCCACGCGCTGTGGGAGGCCCTGGCCAAGAAACGTCGCATGAGCCGAGAACCCACCCTCGACTCCATCACTGAGCTGCCTGATGAGGAGGACAAGGAGCCCAAAACACCCAAGGAACCAGTCAAGGAGAAGAAAGCCCCAGAGAAGGTGAACGAAAAGGAGAAGGAGAAGGTTGTGGAGCCTGTCATCATCGCAAAGAAGAAGGATTTGGATACCAACCTGCACACCAGCTCTGAGGATGAGTCCAGGGCTCCAACGCTGGTGTCCCACCTGAAGAAGAGCAGCATGTCCTCCCTCTCTGTGTCCAACCAGACAGAGTCCATCTCAACTGAGAAGTTATATGCACAGTTTGAGGTGAAAGAGCAGACCTCAGTGCAACAGACCTCAGTGCAACAGACCACTGTCCTACAGACCTCATCTTCGGGACAGCAGATCACAGCACAGACCACAAAGATCACTGAGTGTAGTAATGAGGAGGATGAAGAAAAGGGGCTGCTGGATGCTGCTGTCAAGATCCAGGCTGCCTTCAAGGGCTACAAGGCCCGCAAGGATATGTGTCCAGTCTTCAAGGACGTCTTCAAGGACCAAACCAAGGAGCCCAATGGCACCATCCACCTGGAGTGTGTGGTTGAGGGCAAGCCCGACAAGGTGCGCTGGCTGAAGGACGGCGAGCCCCTTGCGGACAGCAAACACCACCACATCGACATCTACAATGATGGCACCTGCTCTCTGGTCATCACCGCCGTTACCACCAAGGACACGGGCATCTACACATGTGAGGTCACCAACAAGTTCGGGATGACCATCCACAGCGGCAAGGTGACAGTAGGCTCGGCACGGGAGGCATCTGGAAGAAGGCCCCTGACCATGGGCTACAGCGCCGACAGCGAGGCAGACAGCTCGTCGGCAGAAAGCGAGATCGATGAGTCTTTGAGGCAGGCCAGCAAACGGCTGCGCCGCCTCCTCCGCACACACCTGCCGGCCACGTCGGAGGAGGAGTCATTCGTCAGCTGTGATGATGAGGCTGAGCTGCAGGCCCCCGACCCTAAATCGTACCGCGAGGACGAGCGCTACATCTACATCCGCTTCGACACGCGGTCTGAGGCCCAGGTGGCGTCTCTGCACTTTCAGGAGATGTTCACGGCCCAGGGGATGCCTGTGGAGACCACCATTCAGGAGGCTGGACCTCTCAAAGTGGAGCTGCGCATCATGAAGATGGGATACAACAAAGATGGCTCTGCAACACCCACACAGGAGAAGCAGCTGCCCACGTTCATGACAGGAGCCCCGGGTAGGAAAACCAGAGAGTAGGGGAGAACTGGGACGAAAGTAACACTTTTAGTATTTTTTACTAATTACTCAGAGTTCGATAGACCTAGAGACACCACATTTTATTACAAACAACTTATATATATCCTCCACCATTAGCAACTGTAATTTCATTTCTAGGGTAAATCAGTTCAAATTAAATAGACAGAGAACAGAACTACCGCAATGTTACTTTTGTATCTGCCAGCGGGGCGGGAGTAACAGCCTTGGGATGGAGGTAACAGCTGGCAACAAGTGCACAATCTGTCTGATCTCCATGTTTCTGGTTTGTAATGCTCGTTCCTTTCAACAAATGTACTATCAGCCATCATTTCCTGTTTGTATCGATTTGAATAATTCGTGTTCTAGGTTTGAAATGTATGAAAATGAACCATGCGTCAACATCACAATGTTGCGCAACCACAGTATTTTGCTTTAAAATATTAATCGGACTAAAATGGATCACATAATAGCTATATTAGGCATCATTTCATAATCTCACTTTAATCCAACTGGAGTGTATGGCGGAGGAAAAGCCTTACAAGGTGCACTGGCTGAAGGACGGCGAGCAACCAATCAGGTGCGCCCCAGATGTCCTTTTCGTGCACGCTCCTCGTGTCTTGATTGAATGATTGTTTTGAATCTCTTCCCAAACGTCAAACTCATCATGATTATCACATTTCTATGGCTTGACACAAGGTAATTGACCCCCAGAGTCATTAAGATATTTATTTTTAACCACTCTAACCCGTCGATAAAAGCTTATGTGAGAAGCTGATCCATCAAGTCAATTGATTAAGGCATAATTCTATTGATGTCATATATCATTTTCAAACATTGTCACTAGTTCATATTTTTCCAACATTATAAAGGCATTATGAACTAGAGGAGACAACTTAAACTTTTGTATTTGTTTTATTCCAGGTCATCGGTTAACATTGTGTTACTTTTGTCCCACCCCCGTCTCTCCTATAGTTTCTCGCAGGCTAACACCCAAGAATAGCTAACATAATACTTGAAACCTATGCTGTCATTTAGTTACTAGATGGGTTAAGAAAATGACATATTTTTGGAACCTTAAACAACTAAACACAACTCTACAACCGAAAAACCCTTCAATTTAGTTTTTCTTACATCGCTCAAAAACACTTTTTGTTGATAACTTGACGAAACATGGTCGGACTGGGCAGTTTTTCTGCAGGGAGCACGCCCTCTGCATTAGGAACGTGCTGACTTCACTACGTCATTCTAGCTTCTGTGTTATCTGAGAAAATGGGTGTGTTACTTTCCGCCTTGTTACTTTCGTCCCGGCTCTCCTTTACTCTCTCTGTACATACTGTATTAGATCATTTGAAAATAATTTGGAATTAAATAGTAATTTGATGTCTATTAAATTCAATAATGTTGTAGCCCATTCCATTCAGTATGAAAAATTAACAAGTTAAATCACAAAAAGACTGTAATTCAGGAAAGGTCATATTGATTTGAAGTCAATCAATGTATGACATTGAAGTAGTGTTTATTTTGCTTGAATAATATAATTCACATTTCAATGTGTTTTCATTCCCCAAAAAATTGCTTTCGCTTGTTAGCAAAGTATTCAGACCGCTTGACTTTTTCCACATTTTGTTACGTTACAGCCTTATTCTAAAATTGATTAAATTGTTTTGTCCCCTCATCAATCTACACACAATACCCCATAATGACAAAGCAAAAACAGGTTTTTAGAAATTTTCGCAAATGTATTAAAAATAAAAAAACGGAAATATCACATTTACATAAGTATTCAGACCCTTTACTCAGTACTTTGTTGAAGCACCTTTGGCAGCGATTACAGCCTCAAGTCTTCTTTGGTATGACGCTACAAGCTTGGCACACCTGTATTTGGGGAGTTTCTCCCATTCTTCTCTGCAGAGCCTCTCAAGCTCTGTCAGGTTGGATGAGGAGCGTTGCTGCGCAGGTCTCTCCAGAGATGTTAGATCGGGTTCAAGTCCGGACTCTGGCTGGGCCACTCAAGGACATTCAGACTTGTCCTGAAGCCACTTAGGGTCGTTGTCCTGTTGGAAGGTGAACCTTCGCCCCAGTTTGAGGTCCTGAGCGCTCTGGAGCAGGTTTTCATCAAGGATCTCTCTGTACTTTGCTCCGTTCATCTTTCCCTCGATCCTGACTAGTCTCCTTGCTGCTGAAAAACATCCCCACAGCATGATGCTGCCACCCCCATGCTTCACCGTAGGGATGGTGCCAGGTTTCCTCCAGACGTGACACTTGGCATTCAGGCCAAAGAGTTCAATCTTGGTTTCATCCGACCAGAGAATCTTGTATCTCATTGTCTGAAAGTCTTTAGGTGCCTTTTGGCAAACTCCAAGCAGGCTGTCATGTGCCTTTTTTATGTCCAATCAATCAAATTTACCACAGGTGGACTCCAATCAAGTTGTAAAAACATCTCAAGGATGATCAGTGGAAACAGGATGCACCTGAGCTCAATTTCGAGTCCCATAGCAAAGGGTCTGAATACTTATGTAAATAAGGTATTTAGGTTTTTTATTTTTAATACATTTGTTAATTTCTAAAAACCTGTTTCCACTTTGTCATTATGGGGTATGGTGTGTAGATTGCTGAGGATGTTTTTAAACATTTAATCCATTTTAGAATAAGGCTGTAACATAACAAAATGTGGAAAAATAAATGGGTCTGAGTACTTTCCTATTGCACTGTAAGTCTGTACTTGCTAAATTAATGTTTACAATATCCTCATCTAGCCTTTTATCCTGCTTTTCCTTGAGTGTTCCATGTGATTACTATAGTACCTTGTCTGTCTTTGTGTGTGGCTTAATGTTAGTTTTCTCTTGCCAAAAAGTATGTATTTCAGTCTTGTTAGTGTATGATTTCTTTGGTATGTTTGGTTGGATGTAGTGTTTTTATGTCCTCACATGAATATTTTTTATGACCGGTATACTCCCACACCATTCTGTTGTTGGAGTATGCCCACACCATTCCAACACAGAAAAGCTACTTTTTAACATACTTAATTAAACATTTTTGGAAGGGGAAGGTATTTCACTCATATTGTAATTAATTATAGGTCATACAGTATTTTATAGAAATCTTGAAACACTGGACAGTTATTTTAAACTCCTGCATAATTATAAAAACTCCTAACTTATTTTTGTGCATAACTGATTGCCCCTCTCCTCTGTCCCTGTCCCTCCCCCAGCGGCCCCAGTCTTCCTGACCGAACTCCAGAGCCAGGACGTGCCTGACGGTAACCCGGTCAGCTTCGACTGCGTGGTGATCGGAAAGCCTCCACCCAGCGTGCGTTGGTTCAAGGACGGGAAGCTCCTGGAGGAGAATGACCACTACATGATCAACGAGGACCAGGAGGGCTGCCACCAGCTGATCATCACCACCGTGCTGCCTTCTGACATGGGTGTCTACCGCTGCATGGCCGAGAACACCAGTGGCATCGCTTCCACTAAGGCCGAGCTCAGGGTTGACAGTGAGTACAGAACATATTAGATTGATTGATTGGTTGGTTGATTCATTGATTGATTGCAAGTCATTGTCTAATACATCTCTCTTTCCTCAGTGTCTTGCAGCTCAGACTACGATACTGCAGCTGATGCCACTGAGACAGGCTCCTACATCAGTGCCAAAGGCTACATGTCTAGGTGAGTGAGACAACCCAGCTTACAAGGCCTTTGATTTTGACTTCAACCTTCTTTACAATGGAATCCTGATTCCTAATAGTACCTTAAACGTTTCACTGGTCGTGTTGCTCCTTTACTGACAGCTTTACTCTCTGGCTATCTTCTCCCCTCAGGGAAACCGAAGCGTTTGAGTCTGTGGCAGAGGATGAGCAGATGCCACAAGTACTGGATGAGCTCCATGATGTGCATGTCAGCCCAGGCTCACCCATCGCTAAGATGCAGCTGAAAGTCAAAGGTTGGTCTGTGGGTTACTCTCCACCACTTCTGCATTAGTCACACCAAAACCCTGTTAGACTACATTGTCTCTGCACAGGAACTTCAGAGGTCCATTCCATAACTTAAATAGAGAGGAATTTACTATAGCCATGTTTACCTAGACCTGATAGTACCCTTAGAGGAGCTAAGATAGCCAAGTGAACACTACTGCCCCCACGGCAGGCAAGTCAGAGGCAATACAGTTATTTGTTTACTTTCTGTTGATATTTCCCAGGTTTCCCCACGCCCAGAGTGTACTGGTTCAAGGACGGCATACCGCTGCGTTCCTCAGACAGGATCCTGCTGCTGGACAAGAGAGACATCCACAGTCTGGAGGTCCTGGAGGTGAAGAGGGAGGACACAGGAGAGTACTCTGCCTACATCAGCAATGCTGCTGGATCAGCATACTCCTCTGCTAGGCTACTGGTTCTGGGTAGGTCTACTCATGACTGAAAGGTTTATGTTGAGAGGGATCCCTGTCTTCTACTTTGGATAAAGTCTTCAGTCTACATTGCGATATGCATGTTATTTTATACACAACACAACATTCTTGTATTTACTGAATAATTCATGGTGACCCTCTTTCAACAGGTCCAGGAGAGCTCACACCTGTAGAAAAGCACGGTATGTAATTATCATTCAATAATATCAATTGATTCATTCTTATAATTAATAATTATAATAATTGGTCATTTAGCAGACGCTCTTATCCAGAGCGACTTACAAGAGCAATTAGGGTTAAGTGCCTTGCTCAAGGGCACATCGACAGATTTTTCACCTAGTCGGCTCGGGGATTAGAACCAGCGACCTTTCGGTTACTGGCACAACGCTCTTAACCACTAAGCTACCTGCCGCCCTTATGCTGTTACCTATATTTTGTACATTTGACATTTTAGCAGACGCTCTAATCCAGAGCAATTTATTGGAGCAATTACAGTTAGGTGCCTTGCTCAAGGGCACATTGACAGATTTTTAATCTAGTCGTCTTAGGGATTCGAACCAGCGACCTTTGGTTACTGGCCCAACGCTCTTAAACGCTAGACTACCTGCCGCCCCAATAACATGTCACACTGTTCTGAATTGTGAGCTATGTGATGATGACCCTGTTCTGCATCCATGTTTTACTTCCTAGATCCCAAGATGCCTCTGGTGCCGCCACGGTTGCTGGAGAAGTTCAGCAACAGGAAGGTGAAACAGGGAGCTAGTGTCACCCTGTCAGTCAGCGTGGAAGGTACTGTATCCACAACACTGTTCTCTTTTGCCAGGACCAGAATCAGTGTCATATGAGAGATAAGCTTCCATAAAGGATATGGTCATTCATCATACAAAAATACATGCCAGTCCACAGACTGCTGTTAGGAGAGACTATTCATCATACAACATGCATGTGAATACCCAAGTCCCACTATCTTCCTCACCTCTCCAAGGTTCTCCCACCCCCATGGTGACGTGGCTGAAAGAGGAGTCTGCTGAGGACGTGTTGTGGATCAAGCCAGACACTAAGGGCTATAAGGTGGCCAGCTCTGGGCGCCAACACAGCCTCATCCTCATGGATGTGGGTTCTGAGCACGCGGGCACCTACACCTGCATAGCCACCAACAGGGCCGGACAGTCCATCTGCACTGCCCACTTTGCCGTAGAGGATGGTAAGAAACTTGTTTGTTTGTTTGGATCCCCATTAGCTGTTACAATAGCAACAGGTAGTCTTGCTTGGGGTCCACAATACATATTATGGAATAGGAAAACATACTGACACATGCTTTTATAATCATACATAATAAAGATAATAATGTAGTACATGTGGCAGACAGCAAGTTCTAATGTGAAACATTCCTAATGTATTATCTGCTTTCTGTCGTAGCGTCACGACCCAAGGAAGAGACCAAAATCCCTCTGGGTATTACTATCAGCCCTCCAGAGGAGGATGCTGGCAGAAAAATGCCTTATCTAGGTGAAGTTGGAACAGAAGAGTTTCTTATGAAGCTCACCTCCCAGATCACAGAGATGGTATCTGCCAAGATCAGCCAAGGTGAGTTAAAATGTGTCACGGACTATTCCATCAAAGCTCCAAAATAGGGGACAGTGAGAACATTTTCCTATTCAATTTAAATAAATGTTCTTCCTGTCACGATCGTCTAATGAGGGAGACCAAGGCGCAGCGTTGCGGGTGAACATATTATATTTATTCAACTGATCACACGATCAAAACAAAGAACGAAACGTGAAGTCCTTCGATACACAACCAAAAGGAACAAGAAACCACAAAACACAAAGTGCAAGACAAACAGTTAAATATGGCTCCCAATCAGAGACACCCAGCTGACACTCGTTGCCTCTGATTGGGAGTCACTCAGCCCAACATAGAAAATTAAACATAGACTTACACACCCTGGCTCAACATAACATAGTCCCCAGAGCCAGGGCGTGACAGTACCCCCCCCCAAAGGCGCGGACTCCGGCCGCGCCAAACAACCACAACAGGGGAGGGACCGGGTGGGCACTCCGCCTCGGCGGCGGATCCGGCTCCGGACATGACCCAGGCACGGGTTGTGCTGGACTGACGACGCACACCCCTGGCTTGATGCGTGGAGGAGGAACGGGCCGGACCGGGCTGACGAAGCGCACCCCTGACTTGGTGCGGGGAGCAGGAGTGAGCCGGACCGGGCTGACGACGCACACCACTGACCCGGTGCGGGGAGCTTGGACGGGCCGGACCGGGCTGGCGACGCGCACCACAGACTTGGTGCGGAGAGCAGGAACGGGCCGGACAGGGCTGACGACGCACACCACTGGCTTGGTGCGGGAAGCTTGGATGGGCCGGACTGGGCTGGCGACGCGCACCACAGACTTGGTGCGGAGAGCAGGAACGGGCCGGGCTGGGCTGTCGACGCACACCGTAGGCTTTGTGCGTGGAGCAGGGACAGGCCGGGCTGGGCTGTCGACGCACACCACTGACTTGGTGGGAATGGCAGGAACAGGCCGGGCTGGGCTGACGACGCGCACCACTGACTTGGTGGGAATGGCAGGAACAGGCCGGGCCGGGCTGACGACGCGCACCACTGACTTGGTGGGAATGGCAGGAACAGGCCGGACCGTACTGGGGACACACACCACTGGCCCCACGCAGGGATCAGGAACGGGCCGGACCGGACTGGTAACACACCCCAGTACCTCTCGCCGTGCCTCCACACTTTCCCTCTCCTCTGTGCCCAGTGGCCCCCCTAACCTGGCGGCCTTCTCTGCCAACGCTTTGCACCGCTCTAACCCGTACACCTGCTGGCCCGACGTCGTGAGCCCCCCCCTAAAAATTTCCTGGGGGTCTCTCCTCCCTCTTGCCAGACTCGCAATCATCTCCTCCCACGTCCATCCTCTCTCCTCGTCCCGCTGCTTGATCCAGTCGAGGTTGCCACGGAGATCTGCCAGCGATGGCTCCTGAACACGCTGCTTGGTCTGGTTAAGGTGGTTTCTTCTGTCACGATCGTCTAATGAGGGAGACCAAGGCGCAGCGTTGCGGGTGAACATATTATATTTATTCAACTGATCACACGATCAAAACAAAGAACGAAACGTGAAGTCCTTCGATACACAACCAAAAGGAACAAGAAACCACAAAACACAAAGTGCAAGACAAACAGTTAAATATGGCTCCCAATCAGAGACACCCAGCTGACACTCGTTGCCTCTGATTGGGAGTCACTCAGCCCAACATAGAAAATTAAACATAGACTTACACACCCTGGCTCAACATAGTCCCCAGAGCCAGGGCGTGACACTTCCACTATTCATGTGGATTTAAGGTAAAGTAAATGCCTTTGTGATTTGATTTGAATTTATTTTGAATTTATGTGTTTCCTTTAATTTGCCTCTAGTTACTTATAGAATAGGTCATTTAAAATTAATATTTCCAATTTAATATCTGGGAAATAATGGTGGAATACTCCTGATGTATTAGAAAGTTTGCTGTGTGTGCTTTTATTGCAGGCAAAAACATTTGCATTTGTACATCTCTGGTAATACAGAGTATGTTCTTATACTGTTTTATAGCATAACAAAAATATATACATTGCCGTTGATGAAGTCTATATTCAAATTGTATATATGCATTGCCTTTGTAATTTTATAATTCTGTCATAAACACTAAGTTATTTATGTCATGTTATGACAAGTTACTCTTATCCCACATGCAGTCCATCAGCCACAGGGCCAGCTAACATGCCAACATTCGTTGGATACAGCTGCACTGCTGCATCAGTGGATATGTCAGTTCCTAATAGAGGGTCATGCAGGCTTTAAGAACAACTCAAAGAAAATGTCATGCACATTACCTCTCGCTGCCATTTCCTTTAAGTGTTTCTATTATCAACGATGCCTTTTTCTCTTTCTTTGCACTCACTAATGCTTGTTCTGCATGTGTTTTGGTCCCCTATGACTGTCATGTCTTCATTTCATCATCCTTCACCCCTCCATCCATCCATTAATTCACTCACATGCTCTCATCCAATCGTTAATTTGTTATTCAGACAACGCACAGAACCATCAAGTGCTCCAGTGGATGAAATCATGCCCCAAAGCTTCCAGTATGTATCTACAGTACATCAAGATCTCGGTTACTCTCACTAAAAGCCATACATTATTTCCACAAGTTAGTCAGTGTCACTTTTGATCTGTTTCTTGACATTGAAGCTTATGTTCTGTTCTCTTCTCTGCATCTCTCTCTACCTGTCTAAATTGGATTTATTTAATTTAAAAGAGGAGTACTTGTCATGAAACAACAGGGGTTTGAAAATGACGTCCCTCTGTTCATGTTGCACGACAGTGAGGATATCTTGTCTATCACCTGATGTGATGACTTGTGGAAACAATGTACTGGAATTATTCTTAGTCTAAGATGGCATTAAGATACAGTATTTCACAGTTGAAGACAGTTACACGTGTAGACATTTTGAGACAAAACGACCAGGATTCCATTGTAAAGTGGTGGACAAAGCTGTCATCAAAACAGTTCCATCATTCTGCTGCCATATCAGTATATACTCCCGAGTGGCGCAGTGGTCTGAGGCACTGCATGGCAGTGCTAGCTGTGCCACTAGAGATCCTGGTTCGAGTCCAGGCTCTGTCGCAGCCGGCCGCAACCGGGAGACCCATGGGCGGCGCACAATTGGTCCAGCGTCGTCCAAGGTAGGGGAGGGTTTCCCACGGGGGGCCAGTATGAAAAAAACAAAAACAGGATAAGAGCGTCTGCTAAATGACTAAAATGTAATATGATGAAGAATCTATATACAGTGCCTTGCAAAAGTATTCATACCCCTTGGTGTTTTTCCTATTTTGTTGAAATGCAACCTGTAATTTAAATTGATTTTTATTTGGATTTCATGTAATGGACATACACAAAATAGTCCAAATTGGTGAAGTGAAATTAAAAAAATAACTTGTTTCAAAACATTATACAAAATAAATGACGGAAAAGTGGTGTGTGCATATGTTTACACCCCCTTTGCTATGAAGCCCCTAAATAAGATCTGGTGCAACCAATTACCTTCAGAAGCCACATAATTAGTTAAATAAAGTCCACCTGTGTGAAATCTAAGTGTCACAAGATCTGTCACATGATCTCAGTATAAATTCACCTGTTCTGAAAGGCCCCAGAGTCTGCAACACCACTAAGCAAGGGGCACCACCAAGCAAGACCAAGGAGCTCTTCAAACAGGTCAGGGACAAAGTACCGATCAGGGTTGGGTTATAAATAAATTGCTGCCAAGCTCAATAGCGGAGATTGGAGTATCTGTCCATAGCACCACTTTAAGCCGTACACTCCACAGAGCTGGGCTTTACAGAAGAGTGGCCAGAAAAAAACATTGCTTAAAGAAAAAATAAGCAAACATGTTTGGTGTTCACCAAAAGGCATGTGGGAGACTCCCCAAACATATGGAAGAAGGTACTCTGGTCAGATGAGACTAAAATTTAGCTTTTTGGCCATCAAGAAAAACGCTATGTCTGGCGCAAACCCAACACCTCTCATCAACCACAGAGAACACCATCCCCACAATGAAGCATGGTGGTGGCAGCATCATGCTGTGGGGATGTTTTTCATCGGCAGGGACTGGAAAACTGGTCAGAATTGAAGGAATGATGGATGGCGCTAAATACAGGGAAATTCTTGAGGGAAACCTGTTTCAGTCTTCCAGAGATTTGAGACTGGGACGGAGGTTCACCTTCCAGCAGGACAATGACCCTAAACATACTGTTAAAGCAACACTCAAGTGGTTTAAGGGGAAACATTTAAATATCTTGAAATGGCCTAGTCAAATCCCAGACCTCAATCCAATTGAGAATCTGTGGTATGACTTAAAGATTGCTGTACACCAGTGGAACCCATCCAATTTGAAGGAGCTGGAGCAGTTTTGCCTTGAAGAATGGGCAAAAGTCCCAGTGGCTAGATGTGCCAAGCTTATAGAGACATACCCCAAGAGACTTGCAGCTGTAACTGCTGCAAAAGGTGGCTCTACAAAATATTGACTTTGGGGGGGGTGAATAGTTATGCACGCTCAAGTTTTCTGTTTTTTTGTCTTATTTCTTGTTTGTTTCACACACAAAAATATTTTGCATCTTCAAAGTGGTAGGCATGTTGTTTAAATCAAATGATACAAACCCCCAAAAAATCAATTTTAATTCCAGGTTGTAAGGCAACCAAATAGGAAAAATGCCAAGGGGGTTGAATACTTTCGCAAGCCACTATATACGTGATCAAATATCTTTCCCTTTGTTTTTGCACTCCATGATATTTATTTGATGCATTAGTAGAATACGTTTTTGTATTGGCTAAGCAGTTAACTGTTATTACCTGAGCATATGATTCAAATGGCTTTTAAGTGATATACAGCATAGCATATCCTGTAGCTGTAATACATGCCTACACTCAGACATGTATGGACAGAACTTAAGACCACACGTCTTATTTGTACAGTATCTTATGCATGCATCTAGAAAACTAACTAGTTTGTAATAGTGAAAACTATTAAATCAAATGACTTGTGCAGTAGCAGCAAAACTGTTGATGGCACTAATGTGTAGCTTAGCTAACCTTTTGAGAAATCTTAATTATTTGTGCTGACTTAAAAAGAAACAGTTTTGACATTTCTAATAAAATATAAAATATCCACCTCATTTTTTGGGTCAAGAAGCCAAAGCTACACATTCCAAGTGGTCTGTGGGTATTTCAGTGCCCAATTCCCCATTTCTGTGAATGTGTGTACAGGATATAGGCCTATGTCTATACTGTGTTATGTGGAGATGTGTGTGTGTATTGTATTTTCTCCTGGCTGTCTCCCTCTGAACCCCCCCCCCCCCCCCCCCCCCCCCCCCCCCCCCCCCCCCTCCTCCCCCTCACTGCCCCAGCCTCACTACGTGTCCCGGGAGGCGATAGCGACGATGAGACCAAAACACCCTCCGCCTCGCCCCACCACGGCCGTTCTCGCCCCGGCTCCATTCTCGCAGACTCCTCCTCTGAGTCTGATGACCCTGATGCCAGGGGAGAGGTATGGAACCATAGAAATAGAATGCGTCATTCCAGTTCACTCATTCTGAGTCCTCTCTAATGACACTGGAATGGGTCTATTTTCCTTCAAGTTTTTTCTCTTTCTTATTTTTTGGCTATAGAATACTTACTTGACTTATTCCATTTTAGCTCCTAGTGCAGCAAAGAGCCTCAACTGGCCTGCATCTCCAGCTAACCCAATTCTGGGCAAATGTCTTATAAATACAATTATGTTTTTCATCCAAGTCACTCTGCCAATGTGAGCACTTATAAGCATGTTAGTTATGACTTTGTCTGATGTCCTCCTCCTTCTACAGATGTTTGACATCTATGTGGCTACGGCTGACTACAACCCCACCAGCCCCAACAAAGAGACCATTTCCCTGAAGGAGGGCCAGTATGTTGAGGTTCTGGACTCAGCACATCCACTCAAATGGCTGGTCCGGACCAAACCAACCAAAACCACCCCATCCCGCCAGGGCTGGGTCTCACCTGCCTACCTGGACAAGAAACTCAAGGTGTGTTTCAAGATCTAAGTAATTGATTTAGTACCAATAGTGTACATCTACCTCTCCCTGTTTCCTGTTAATTCGAATCTACTCTCTTGCCACTATTTTTGTTAAATGTTATTATGTTCTTAAAGTTATTTTAAACTATTGTGTTCTAGCTGTCTGCTGATGCTGGTGATGTCCCCGAGGCAGGTGGAGAAGAGGTCTCAGAAGGAGAGTACAAAAGAAGACTACTGTGAGTCTAGACCTTCTCACACAATCTTCTATTAGTACCAAAACTTAACCTGAGATTCGACTTCCGCATAACTAAGACACTCAATGAATTAACTCAATAACTCAATGAGAGAATTAATGTCAAATAAATGTTTGTTACATTCACAGATCATAAGGATTCGGTCCTGTGTTGTGCACAAACAAGAAACCCCACCACACTCAAGGACAAACCATAATATATCCATAATGCTCTGTCTTCCCCAGCCAACTGATCCAGGACATGATCAACAGCGAGGCAGAGTTTGTCAAAGAGATGGACTTCTTCACCTCCCACCACGTCAAGCATCTGGATAGCCCTGACGCCCCATCTGACGTCACCAGCCAGAAGGAGGCCATATTCAGGAACATCAACGAGATCAAGGCCTTCCATAGCGAGTAAGTACAGCTGACTCGTTTTTGGCCTGTTTTTAAACAACTACAACTTTTAAGGATTAATGAAGCCTTCATAAACCCTTTATAATGCCTGTATAGAAATCACCTAACTGGTTCTATTGTATTGATGTTTTACCATTATATACTACCATACCGTTATATATATATATATAAATATATATATATATATATATATATATATATATATATTTATATATATATTATACCATTATATACTAGTAATGATTCAATTTCTCACAAAGCTACTGAATGAATTGACCCCATAATGTGTGTTGTGCAGGTTCATGTTCCCTAAGTTGAGCGAGTGCGACACAGATGACGACGTGGCCATGCGGTTCCTGAGGAGCGGGGAGGGCTTTGAGAAATACCTCCAGTACCTTGTAGGCCAGCAAAAGGCAGAGGCCGCTATCAGTGACAAGACTGTACACCACTTCTTCAAGGCAAGTGAACCCACAAATACTGTTAACACAAATGGTCATAAATGTGTGTGTTGTCGTCTTTGTTAATATGTATTTTTCACAGAAGTACACAGATAAACAGCAGGCCAGTGTCGACCCTGCTGAAGGTCCTGTATTGAGCATTAATGCCTACCTACAGAAGCCTCTGGACAGAATTCAGAAGTACAAGGCCTCACTCAAGGTGAGAGATCACCCTTTAATGCTGTAAATAAGGTATTAGATTAGATATTTCTTTATTGTCAGATTTTCACAGATATTTACTTTACGTGCAAAATGCACTGCGATATGGTAAGAGACATGGCACAGGCCAGACATAACATCAAAGGAATCTTACCCCTCCCTTCCACATTACATAGCTGTCCCTTCTATACTCAATGTTACACATCCCCTTAAAGTCCAAGTTCCCTGAGCGTTGCACATAATGTTATTGCACAACCCTATAGTTTCAATGTCAATTATTATTTTACACAGTTAGTTATATTTCACTTATCACATTTCACTATTGCCCGTTCCTGAATGAGTTAATCTATCCCTGTCATTTGTTCTTACCATACATACACAAATTCACACAGTATGAATGAATGCACCAGTGCCTGCATTACCATGTTTTTATAATATGAAAATGTACTCATTAAAATCTTGTTGGAATATTACTGTTATTATTCATCTTAAATTGTTGTGCCCATTTCTGTGACTGTAGGAGCTGATCCGGAACAAGGCCAGGAATGGTCAGAACTGCTGCCTGCTGGAAGAGGCCTATGCCATGGTGTCATCACTGCCTCAGCGTTCAGAGAACACACACCACGTCTCCATGATAGAGAACTACCCTGCCACCCTGGATGTATTGGGGGAGCCCATCAGACAGGTAACTAACCCGGAAATAATGTCAGGGGGGTCCTATTGAGGTCAAAATACCAATTTTACAAGACAAACCTGGCCAAAAGGACAGCTCCAGTAAAACCATAGACTGAATGATGCCGATTGGGAGTTGAAGTCTTTGACTAAGGACTTACATATCAGAGCTACTGTATCAGTTGTGGTCCTCTGTAGCTCAGCTGGTAGAGCACGGCGCTTGTAACGCCAAGGTAGTGGGTTCGATCCCCGGGACCACCCATACACAAACATGTATGCACGCATGACTGTAAGTCGCTTTGGATAAAAGCGTCTGCTAAATGGCTTATTATTATTAAATAGTCTAATTTGGCTGGAGTCGATATGTGATGAGTTGTGATGTTGTGTTTTGTGACAGGGACCCTTCATGATGTGGGAGGGTGCACCTGGGGTAAGGTCCTCCTCCAGAGGCCACCATCGACACGCATTCCTCTTCAAAAACTATGTAATCATCTGCAAATCCAAGAGAGACACCAACACAGACACAGAGGGCTACATCTTTAAGAACATGATGAAGGTAAGATTCTGTTTATTGCTCATTCTGTTATACTCCAGATCTCTCAGCATGGCCATCCACTGAAGCAAGGCACTAAAGAATTAGTAAACTCTTAAGTACCATCTAATTCCAATCAGGTATTCAGGGTTGACATCGTAATATTCTTGCTGGTGGAGAGGATATATCATCATTGTCACTCTTCCTATGACATAGAAATAATTTCCGAACAGATAAATGAAGTCATAATCATTTGTCTCGAGGATGACTACTGTTTATCTGTCTGTCTTCCTCACTAGCTGAACAACATAGATGTGAATGAGACAGTGGAGGGTGACGACCGGGCCTTTGAGATCTGGCACGAGCGTGAGGACTCTGTCAAGAAGTACACACTGCAGGCTCGCACCGTAATCATCAAGAACTCCTGGCTGCGAGACCTCAGGGACCTGCAGCAGTGCTACACCATGCCTGCCTGGAGTGAGTCTGACGTACACACATTTACTCAGATTAATGTATATTTCCATGTTATTTTTACTCTTTATTTTGATTTGTTATTCACTGTGTCACTATTCATATATTTTTATTTATGTTTTATCTTATCTTTAACTCTGCATTGTTGGAAAAGGACCCGTAAGTAAGCATTTCACTGTTAGTCTACGAAGCATGTGACAAATAACATTTGATTTGAGATCCACTGACACACATTGCACGTGCACACACACATTCAGTCAGATCCACCTGACACACGCAGTAGACAAACAGAGAGGCATAGTTTGACGACACAGCACATTGTGATCTAAACTTTACTATCAAACAAGTATGTTTTACATACTATAAAATTGCAACCATTATTTGACAGGTAATTGCATAAAATATGTCATCCCTCCACTCAGGATTGATTGCTGTGTAAATTCATCCCTCTATCTGTCCAGGTATGCCTGACTTTGATGAGCTTCTGGCTGACTGCTCAGCGGAGCTGGGACAGACTGTGAAACTGGCCTGCAAGGTTACTGGAGTACCCAAACCTGTGGTCACCTGGTACAAGGGTAAGAGACGCACCAGCGAGACCACTGTGCATACGCGATAGCTGTGTGTGTGGAGTTTTAGAATATCAATGAACTACAGACAGTAACGTTAGTAATGTTTGTTTTTCTCTACATACTGTAGCCACACTGTGTTAATGTAGAAACAGCTCTATGTAACTACGTGTTAACACTGTTTCCTCCTCTGATGACAGATGGGCATGCGGTGGAGGCTGACCCTCACCACATCATCATCGAGGACCCTGATGGTTCCTGCACCCTGATCCTGGACAACATGATAGCTGATGACTCTGGACAGTACATGTGCTTCGCCACTAGCACAGCAGGCAATGCCAGCACTCTGGGGAAGATCACTGTCCAAGGTCAGTCTCTATTAGGATATGATACTAACATTGGGCTTGAACTTGTGAAAGTGGATATAGCAGACTACTCATAAGAATCATGGATATTCATCAGAGGAGGCTGGTGGGAAGAGCTATAGGATGATGGGCTCATTGTAATGGCTGGAATGGAATAAATGGTTTCCATATGTTTGTGTTTGATATCGTTTTATTTATTCCAGTCTAGCCATTACAATGAGCCTATCTTCCTATAGCTCCTCCCACCAGTCTCCTCTGATATACAGTACATGTCAGCAGCTTATAGTGATGGATACTTTGCTTGTCCGGGATGATCATTGTTATTCTTATGAGAGAAGAACACTATTTTTAAGAGTATGTGTGTGTTGTAGTGCCTCCTCGTTTCGTGAACAAGATGAGGAATGCTGTCTTTAACATTGGTGAGGATGCTCAGTTCTCCTGCACCATCCAGAGCGCCCCCAGCCCCAAGATCAGGTATGCTACACCACACCACACCCCTCTCATAGGCTCTTCAAACTGACAACTTTTTAGTGATATCGGACTGTGGCATTTGTTTCTTCTTACTGTCGTCATTATGTTACCCATTCTTAATGGTTAATAAGTATACATAAGATAATGAATAAGTATTGAAATAAACATTTTGAGAGCTCTCAATAAACTGTTTGGTGTGTTTTCTGGCCAGGTGGTTCAAGGAGGGCAGGCTGCTGACTGACCAGGAGAAGTATCAGACCTACAGTGAGTCCCGTAGTGGAGTCCTAGTGCTAGTCATTAAAGGCACTACGGAGAGAGACCTGGGACATTACGAGTGTGAGGTAGGCCTATAATTCACCACCCCTAGTAATCGACTGAAATGCACTTTCAATAGAGAATCTTAATTCAGGACTAGGGTTAATCTGGGTCCAGGAAACCATTCCATACAGATGTAAAACACTGGACTTGCAAGCCACCTCACCGAAATTGCTGCCAACCTACACTACCGGTCAAAGGTTTTAGAACACCTACTCATTCAAGGGTTTTTCTTCATTTTTACTATTTTCTACATTGTAGAATAATAGTGAAGACATCAAAACTATGAACTAACACATATGCAATCATGTAGTAACCAAGTAAGTGTTAAACAAATCAAAATATATTTTATATTTGAGATTCTTCAAATAGCCACCCTTTGCCTTGATGACAGCTTTGCACACTCTTGGCATTCTCTCAACCAGCTTCATGAGGTAGTCACTTGGAATGCATTTAATTTCTATTAACAGGTGTGCCTCCTTAAAAGTTAATTGTGGGTATACAGAAGATAGCCCTATTTGGTAAAAGACCAAGTCCATATTATGGCAATAACAGCTCAAATAAGCAAAGAGAAACGACAGTCCATCATTACTTTAAGTCATGGTCAATACGGAACATGTCAAGAACTTTGAAAGTTTCTTCAAGTGCAGTCGCAAAAACCATCAAGCGCTATGGTGAAACTGGTTCTCATGAGGACCGCCACAGGAATGGAAGACCCAGAGTTACCTCTGCTGCAGAGGAAAGGTTCATTAGAGTTACCAGCCTCAGAAATTGCAGCCCAAATAAATGCTTCACAGAGTTCAAGTAACAGACACATCTCAACATCAACTGTTCAGAGGAGACTGTGTGAATCAGGCATGTCATGGTCGAATTGCTGCAAAGAAACCACTACTAAAGGACACCAATAAGAAGAAGAGACCTGCTTGGGCCAAGAAACACAAACAATGGACATTAGACCGGTGGAAATGTGTCCTTTTAGTCTTGAGTCCAAATTTGAGATTTTTGGTTCCATCCACCATGTCTTTGTGAGATGCGGTGTGGGTGAACGGATGATCTCCGCATGTGTATTTCCCACCGTAAAGCATGGAGGAGGAGGTGTTATGGTGTGGGGGTGCTTTGCTGGTGACACTGTCTGTGATTTATTTAGAATTCAAGGCACACTTAACCAGCATGGCTACCACAGCATTCTGCAGTGATACGCCATCCCATCTGGTTTGGGCTTAGTGGGACTATCATTTGTTTTTCAACAGGACAATGACCCAACACACCTCCAGGCTGTGTAAGGGCTATTTCACCAGGAAGGAACGTGATGGAGTGCTGCATCAGATGACCTGGCCTCCACAATCCCCTGACCTCAACCCAGTTGAGATGGTTTGGGATGAGTCGGACCGCAGAGTGAAGGAAAAGCAGCCAACAGGTGCTCAGCATATGTGGGAACTCCTTCAAGACTGTTGGAAAAGCATTCCAGGTGAAGCTGGTTGAGAGAATGCCAAGAGTGTGCAAAGCTGTCATCAAGGCAAAGGGTGGCTATTTGAAGAATCTCAAATATAAAATATATTCTGATTTTTTTAACACTGTTTTGATTACTACATGATTCCATATGTGTTATTTCATAGTTTTGAAGTATTCGCTATTATTCAACAATGTAGAAAATAGTAAAAATTAAGAAAAACCCTTGAATGAGTAGGTGTTCTAAAACATTTGACCGGTAGTGTAAGTGTATCACTTGTGAATTATCAATATAAATGAAAACCATAGAGATAAATATTAGTAGTAACAAGTAACAGTGGTTACATGCTTTGGATGTTTTGCATCCAATGCTTTACTCTTTCTAAAGAGGATTGTTTTCATGAGAAATTACTGTGATAATTACAAACCCTAATGTATTCTCCCCCCTGCCCATCCCAGTTGTCCAATCGACTGGGTAGTGCTAAATGTGCAGCTGATCTGTGCCTTCCTTCTGCTGTGGCTAGAAGAGGAGAGCAGGCGATCACCATCGAAGGTAGGAATGCTCCCTTTCATACAGATACCGTTGTGCATTAGTTTAATAATTGTCCTATTTTACCAGGTACTTCAAATGTAGAGAATGTATGCTTTTATTTCCATAAGCCACAATAATTTAAGGAAAAAGATTAACCATCAGTTCATCAACAATTTAGATTCTGTCGTCTTTTGTCTTAAACATTAGCTAGCAATTGATTTATCTGGCTAACTGTATAAGCTCCATCCTGCTTTCCTTGTAGTCACCGAGCAGGAGACTAAAATACCAAAGAAAACCATCATCATGTAAGTGTGACCAGCTTATGATGCAGGCTAGAAGAAGCATGTATACTTGTGCGTGTCCCCCTTCGGCCTCTGCATACATTGCCATGCAGTATTTGAACCCTGAGTGTGAGAGGGACTCAACCCCAAATATAACTTCCAAGGAGCCGGCATATTGAATGCATAAGGAATGGCCATTAATCTTTTTTGTGTATGCACATTTTCCTTAACTCATGTACCATCGCAGACAAAGCCTCTCATGACATGTTTGTATGAGTAGACAAGACTCCATTTTGCTCTGTGTGTGTGTGTGTGTGTGTGTGTGTGTGTGTGTGTGTGTGTGTGTACACGCTAATTAACACCTTGCCTATGTAGGCCTAGTGTGAAAACAGCATGCCAACAAGCTGTTCTGTCCCTCTCATACCCTCTCTGCTGTCTCTCTCATACCCTCTGTGCTATTCCTCTCATACCTCCTGGTCTGTCCCTCTCTCACACCCTCTGTGCTGTGTCCCCTCCCAGAGAGGAGACCATAACCACGGTGGTGAAGAACACCCGCATGAAGCGTCGCGGCCTGTCTCCATCTGGGTTCAACCGCTCCCAAACCTCCACCCCAGATCTCCCCAACACCCCCACGGTCAGGCAGAGGAGGCAGGCTTCCGCCAACAGGAAGACCACCATCCCCACCCTGTACGTCACGGAGCCCGAGGGGGCCGTAGGGGCCCGGGCTGCGGAGAACAAGTGGGTGGAGGTAGAGGAAATCATAGAGTACAAGGTCAACAAGTCGCCCAGGCTATCCAGCAGAGGGGTCTCCCAAGCCGGGTCGGAGCAGTCACACACCCCCTCCTCCACCCGGCCACGGAGATCCCCAAACCCCAACGCCAACAACTCCAACAACAAGCTGGTAGAGCTGCAGAATCTCTCCGAGCTGCAGGGGGCACAGCCTCTGTCCTGGGACGATGAGGAGGAGGATGATGACGTGGCTGTGGATGGGTCCGAGGTCGCCAGTGGATTCAGTGGAAAGGCCTACGAGGTCTCCTCTGTTCTAATCCCTAACGACCATGAACATGAAGAGGATGAGGCCTGGCTAGAGGAGCAGCAAGAGGCCTTCATCACAGAACCGGATGATGACGACGACAACACACTCAGGAAGCTGGACCCTAAGATCCTGACCCAGGGCGGTCACGTTCTCACCCTGGAGGACCTGGAGGACTATGTTCCCAGGGAGGGGGAGACCTACGGCTCCACCAACACCCGCTCGTCACCTGTCGAGAGGCCCTGTGAGATCTCAGTGCTCCAGAGGGAGATTGGGGGCTCTGCTGTGGGCCAGCCGGTGCTGTTCAACGTGGGGAGGCCTGTGGTGCTGCCTAGGGAGAGGCCCAGGCCTGGCTTCTTCAGTCGCTTTAGAGAGCACTTCTCAGGAAGCCTGTTCTCCCCGGCCGCCCCCCACCACAACCACCACCCCAGCGGAGGCCAGTCCAGTAGGGAGATTCCCATCCAGGTCAGCCACGCCAAGTTAGAGGTCAAGCCGTTGTACTGCTCTGAGGTACAGAGAGTGGAGGGAGGGCAGCAGAGCTACAAAACCAAGGTCTACACGTCAGTGGGCAAGCCAGTCACTCTTCAGATTAGCAAGAATAACCCATATCAAAACCAATAACCTAGTGTGTGGAAATACGTAGCTGGATTAGAACCAAGCAGATTGTTGTTATTTGGTGAGGTACAATAGCCCTTTTAGTCTTAAATGGGAACATTTCTACTAAAGTGTTAAAAAGCATATTCTAACATTGCATTTTACTGCAAATGGCGGATCATTCCATTTTCAAGCAACCCATCTGAAAGTAAAATGCAGACACAGGAAGTCAGTCATTTTGGTCAGACAGAAAGTAGATTTTAAAGGACAAAACATCAGAAGGGGGTTGGATATGTTTAGGCTAAATTATTTCCGAACGCCATTGTATACTATCCAGCCTTCAATTTATTGTTGCCTTGCTTGCCACATATTTGATGTACTGAAAAAGACAATAATTATGAGTGTTACAACATGGACTGACACTATTTTCAAGTTCAAAAATCCATCTGCTTTACCCTCCGGTGACAGAGGTTTAGAATTTTAACTCCTTGATGTTAAACTTCTGTCTTGTAGAAGAACATCAGTGTACAGCATTATACACTAAGTTTACAAAACATTAGGTACACCTTCCTAATATTGAGTTGCACCCCCTTTAGCCCTCAGAACAGCCTCAATTTGTCAGGGCATGGACTCTACAAGGTGTCGAAAGCGTTCCACAGGGATGCTGGCCCATGTTGACCAAAATGCTTCCCACAGTTGTGTCAAGTTGACTGGATGTCCTTTGGTTGGTGGAACATTGTTGATACACACTTGAAACTGTTGAGCATGAAAAACCCAGCAGCGTTGCAGTTCTTGACACTCAAACGTGCACCTACTACCATACCCCGTTCAAAGCCACAAATCTTTTGTCTTGCTCATTCACCCTCTGAATGGCACACACACAATCCATGTCTCAGTTGTCTCAAGGCTTAAACATCCTTCCTTTAACCCATCTCCTCCCCTTCATCTACACTGATTGAAGTGGATTTAACAAGTGACATCAATAAGGGATCATAGCTTTCACCTGGATTTACCTGGTCAGTCTATGTCATGGTGTTCCTAATGTTTTGTCCACTCATTTTGTTGTTTGTCTCTGTTTGTTGTTTCCAGCTGAAGTTTAATGAACAAGGAATATCCACCTTGACTTGTAGCGTATCAGTTTGTACGTAGGCTAACTCCTGTGAAAGGAGAAACTGTTTGTGTCTCGAACAGTAACTTACCAAACCAATGACTTCAGCAACAAAGATGATATTGTACAGTAAAGAGCAGTCAGATTTGAAATGTTACAGAGAACTTGTAATTCTGGGATCCCCCCAAAAAGAATAACAAGATGATAGAAGTATAAAAGAGCATTGATTACTGAAGTTGCTGAATTGTGTGACACATTGACAATGTTCTCCCAACAGCAGTCACTTGAGAATGCAGATTAAAGCCAGACACATGGATCATTGAATTGTCCTTCAGATTGGGTAGTCGGTCCTCCTATGCAGAAAAAAGTCTCAAATGTTTTAAACATTTCTAAATGGTCAATTACATGTTGTGCAGAGTTGATACTTTTACATGAACTGTATATCACTTGTGGTTTGGACTGAGGAATGATCTAGGTCTATGATTGTGTTATACAGGTCTCATATAAAAGGGTCTCTGTTTACTTCAGGTTATATCCATCCAAAAAGAGCTATATAGGATAATTAATCTTGTACTGGGTCATTTGTTTTATAGAAAGCCAACTCTTCATTATCAATTTATTGAGAGCAATGAACAGTGGATTGACTTCAGACAATTTTAAAGTATTTGTGATTGAGTAAAATGTACTTAAAATATGTTTAGAAAAGTGACAGCATGATATGTATTAGCTGTTTGGAAAGCTGATTTTAGTGTTTATCCAATTAACACAATGTAATTTTAATCCTGTCATATTTGGTTCAGGTGAGAGCAGTTACATAGGAGTGAGTCATTGATCACACTGGATTTAAGAACTTTGTTGCAATATCTTGTTTTAAAAAGTGAATTACTGTTTCCCAAAGTAAGAGTGATATTTATTTTTGTTTTATGTTATTTTAAATGTCTTGTAGAAGCATTTAAAGATGTATTTTGTGAAAGAAATTCAACATAAAGCACAAATAGGTTTTGACTGCCTGCACATGTTAAGTTAATGGAAATACATTTTGAATATACAAAAATAAATAAATTGCAACTGATGATCGGCCTGTTTTATTCACTCCTGGTGAATGTTTGGGTTGATTTATATCAGGGATGGACAACTCCAGTCCTCGGGGGCCGGAGGGGTGTCACACTTTTCCCCATCCCTAGCAAACACAGCTGATTAAACTAATTGCATTCTAAACTGAAGATCATGATTAGTTGATTATTGGGAGCCAGGTTTGTTTGCTGGGGTTGGGGCAAAAGTGTGACACTAATCAGGCCCCCCGAGGACTGGAATAGCCCATCCCTGGTTTATATAAATCATTGGTTGGTAAAGCAATCACTGAATGTAAATGTTTGTGCATTGTCTTCCTCTAGTCCAGCGGTATGCAAACCTGGTCCTGGAGTGCCGCAGGCACATCATATCTTTGATTTAACCGACCTGGAAGACCAGGTGTGTTGAATTTAGGCAATCACTGAACTGATCAATTAGCTCAGTTGGTCAGGCGTAGTGACTAGTTGGAACAAAATGTTGCAGTACCTGCGGCACTCCAGGAACAGGGTTGCCTACCCCCGCTCTAGTCTGTATCCTCAACTACATTGAACCTTTAACATATAGAAGTGTAGGGCTAAGAAATACTAGCCAGAATTAGGAGTCAACAATGGTAGCTCTAACTATTGATTACATATTTCAGGTCAGGTGCTTGGCCTTCAACCATTCTGCCATAATGCTCAGCTAATCAATGGCTGTTTTCAGCTAAGTTTTTGACTGAACTGGATCGCTTATAAAATAAAAGGATATCCAGGCAATATAGTTTCATTATTTGACTTTACTACTGTTGTAAAACACATACAAAAATGTTACTAGACATGCATATTTGTAAAACAAGGACTTGTTGAAGGCTGGGTGAACTGTCAATATCTGGCCAATGAAAACAATACATGCAAAGCAGGGCTATGACGCTTGCACCATTAACGGTTCTATTCAATCTGCATCTGGGAAGTTCAGCTTTATAGCATGATTTAAATTTAAAGGCAATGTTTCGCTTTAGTGGAAACTGCATTTACGGTAAATACTGCATATGTCGGCTCAATCGGAAATGATCTTACATTTCCATCACGGAATCTGTAACGCTTCAGCTTTACAGATTGAATAGAGCCCTAAATCATTGAAAAGTTGGTTTGTGAAAAAGTTACATAAAAATATGTTTCAATAAGTAATTTGTGCAAAGGAATGAAATTCATGTTCAAAGGGAAATCAAATACAAAGGACAATAAGCAGTGGAGCATAGTCATGGGCCACAGTAGCCTATGTCAAATAATAGTTACCAATGCACTGAATTTGGGTTGTGAATGGAAGTTGCCTTGTAAAACAAGGCATGTCAAACTACAAACTTAAAAGACATCAAAAGCTGCTGGGACAATGTAGCCTTTTTAAAAGGATGCCTTGACTTAGAACAAAAGACAGGTTTTGTGGAATTCAATGTAGACAGTTTCAAGTAAAGCTGATGCTCCGTGTTTTAAGCTTTTCTTTATTTTCCTTTGAGGACTGACACTATTTGCTCCATTTATTTAATATTCCATTGATCTTTTATTCTCATTCAATCATTTTCTGTCCAAAAAAGGCCCCCTGCATATCATTATACTACAGGTAAGATTAGTACAATAATGATAAAAAACACAAAACATATACAATGTAAAAGTTTCACGCCTGTACAACAACAGTGAACAACAAAACATCTATTAGGGGTAAGTCGTGGTTTCAGGAAGTTCAGCTAAACTGTATAGCTGTTATAGAGTGATTAACATGATTGTAAATCCTAAATGGCAATCTTTGATTTTATTGGTGAATTAAGTCATTCTATCATCATTTCAATAGTATGGTAAAACCTACAGGGAAACTTCCAACAAGTTGACTAGGACCCCTAGCAAACAGCAGCTAGGCTACAGTGAGTTCCTGAGATCGGCTGTAATATGAATGGATGGTGCTTCCCTGTATGACTACATAAGAGCCAGAGTTAGCTAGTGCCCAGGCCCCTGGCATTGGTTGTTAGCTGCTCTATGTTGACGCACTATTGTGAGTCAGAAATCCCTCTTTCAAAAAGAATGAAAAGGCAACATAAAAAAATATTTCTACTCTTTTACATTTCCGGCTATATCTGTTGAACCATGCTGTGGCTAATATGACAACCAATGCATTTCCGTACAACCACATTTTTAGGTCAGTTCTGCTAGACAGGAACAGAACAGAAATGTTCTAAAGTAGTACTGACAGGGCTAGTCTTTGCGGCAAGCCATGACATTTGCGAACATACCATACAAGTGTCCACTCTTGCTGAGCAAACTTGTTTATCCAGTAGATGGAATGGGTCTTGTTATTATGGTCAGAGTGAATACAAATAGAATGCTTTGGGGCTATCATACTGGTAGATGGACAGAAGAATGAATTGGCGACAGAATCTCCTGTGTGCAGTACTCCTTCATAGTAAAATAAAACAAGCAAAACATATTAGGGACCATCTCAGTCCCAGGTTAACCATTAATGGAGTATTTTTCTTTGTGGATCAAAATACAACAACTTTGAAACTGACCACCAGCCAAAGAAATAAAAACAGCAAAATAGAAGTGAACTATCTCTATTTACAGTATTTTATCATCTTAATACCTGCCTATATCTTCCAAATATGTAAAAACATAGGCTAGATATTCCTGCACACTCAAAAGGCTACCATCTGTGGTTCAGGGTGAGGCATGTTGTCTGGAGTTCCTTCCCACACCAGTATCTGACGGAATGTTCAGGATTGGAATAGGGGGCTGCCATTTTGTAAGGAGTGGCCAGGATGGCTGTCAGGTTTCTTCTCGCTTAAGACGACAAGTTGGTTTTCTGGACTTTTTTGATTTCCTGAAAAAATAAAAAATAGGTTTGAGGATGACATTTTGGAGATGGTGAAATTCAACACTGACAAATATATATTAATGATTTAGGATTTACTGGCAAGTGAAATGGTGCATATGGCCCAGTCCATCATACCCAGCTATGTTATGTCGATACAAACTCACCTCAATAAGGGCGTCTTTCAACTTCCCATAGGCATTGTCAAGATTATCATTGACAATGACAACGTCAAATATGCCAGGTTCCTTGCCTGAAAGATGGGGGGGGGAAACGTTTTAGACAACATCCTTCAACAAATTCTCAACATTTCATTTATAAACATCCAACTCTGTTATCGGCCAAAGTCTCTCCAGAATCAGACTCACTTATCTCCATGTCCACCTGAGCAGCATCTAAACGTTTCTGGAGGCTCTCCTCTGACTCAGTCTTTCTGTCCCTTAAACGTTTCTCCTAAAATGCCAAATGACAGAGGGAGACTAAGTCATGGGGGGGGTGGGTAGCTTTAGATCAGGAGTTACTACACATTTATAACCATATTGCACGTATATAACCAATAATATACAAGTTAAACAAGACAAGAATGACCCTGGTAAACCATTTTATAATGCCTCCTGGCTCTCACCAGGATATTCATGGACGGAGGCTGGATCGAGACGTAGATGGGGTTGAGGTCTGTCGTCTTGACCGCCCTCACGCCCTGCATGTCGATGTCCAGGATGCAGATCAGGTTCTTGTCCTTGACGGCCTGCACGGAGGCCTTGCTCGTCCCGTACATGTTCCCCGAAAACACTGCGCTCTCAATGAACTCCCCTTTGTCGATGCTGGCCTGCATATACTCCCTTGTAACATAATGGTAATCTGAAACAACAATTTAAAAGGTTGGTTATTGAAAAGAATAAGACACAGGGGACAGCATAGGTCCCCCAAATATGGTTGAAGCTAACTAAAGTGATGTAGCAGGAGGATTTGGAGTACAAGTGTCTATCTTGGAGTTTAAAAACCCTACCTACCTTTACCATTCTCTTCACCAGGACGAGGGCTCCTTGTTGTATCTGAGGGATGAGAGCACACAATTAGATATTTTATTTCTGTAACTGACACCTCCCTGACATTTTACATGGTTAACAGGGGACTTGTGCAGAGCACACTTACGCGAGACGCTGAAGCCAAAGATGCCCTCGTACTCCTTGAGCAGGTTCTTGAGCAGCGTGCTCTTCCCAGCCCCTGACGGGCCACTCAGCACCACTGGCCTGGGTCCTGCCATAGCTGGGGGAGAGAAGGAGAGACAGGGTAAGATGAGAGGAGAAGAACACACAATCTGGAATTCCTCACTGCACTGGTTACATCACGTCTTTATGGTATGAGTTATGTAACGAGACAGAGCTCACTTTACACAAATGGTTGGAACTGGTGTCATGAGGAGAAACAGCCAGGCACAGCAGCTGTTATTCTTGAGATTAAAAACATATCTAGGCCTATCCTTTATTCACATGATGAAACTAGTAAATCTCAAGTAGCCTTTATTCAAATAGTGGTGTAATACGCCTGGTCTAAACAATACCACAAATAGGCCTAAGGGCTGAATATGAAATGGATATGACAAACCAAGTATCCTACAAAAACTGATGAATTGGTGATTCTGTAGTACACATCCTAAGCAAGACTAGTGGGACCAATTAACCCTACACCTACAGTGGTTATCATGTCCTGTTAGGCTGTTACCACGGAACCACCATGGAACAATCTAATTGGAGAGCCTAAAATAACTCTGCTGCTTCTGATTGCAAGGCAGAAGAAGTTATTTCAGTAAAGCTTTTCAGTTTGCAATGACTGTTTAAAAGCTGCAATATGTAACTTTTTGGACAACCCGACCAAATGTGCATAGAAATGTGTTATAGATCTGTCATTCTCATTGAAAGCAAGCCTAAGAAGCGGTAAATCTGTTCTATGTGCCGATCTTGTCATACTCGTAATCGTATTAGTTTTACCGCACTTGATACTCATAATCTGATTTACTCGTGACCGGAAAACCCGGAAGTGCGCTTTAAAACGCCAGTAAAGCCTATACCTCAAGTGCGCATTACTGCGCTATCACTCAGAGTGCATCGTTATGTTCCTTCACTCAGTCACACACATTGATAAACGACCCCGACAGATGAAAATGCACATGATTTACTTACGTAGTACTATTCAATTATCAACGAGATGGCTAATAAATAGCTCAATGCAAGGCTGGCTACTACTGCCTACATTTATTCCAGACACATTTAGATGAAGGTAGGCTAATTCACTTGCCCCATATACAGTGAGGGAAAAAAGTATTTGATCCCCTGCTGATTTTGTACGTTTGCCCACTGACAAAGAAATGATCAGTCTATAATTTTAATGGTAGGTTTATTTGAACAGCGAGAGACAGAATAACAACAAACAAATCCAGAAACACGCATGTCAAAAATGTTATAAATTGATTTGCATTTTAAATGAGGGAAATAAGTATTTGACCCCCTCTCAATCAGAAAGATTTCTGGCTCCCAGGTGTCTTTTATACAGGTAACGAGCTGAGATTAGGAGCACACTCTTAAAGGTAGTGCTCCAAATCTCAGCTTGTTACCTGTATAAAAGACACCTGTCCACAGAAGCAATCAATCAATCAGATTCCAAACTCTCCACCATGGCCAAGACCAAAGAGCTCTCCAAGGATGTCAGGGACAAGATTGTAGACCTACACAAGGCTGGAATGGGCTACAAGACCATCGCCAAGCAGCTTGGTGAGAAGGTGACAACAGTTGGTGCGATTATTCGCAAATGGAAGAAACACAAAAGAACTGTCAATCTCCCTCGGCCTGGGGCTTCATGCAAGATCTCACCTCGGGGAGTTGCAATGATCATGAGAACGGTGAGGAATCAGCCCAGAACTACACGGAACCATAGTCACCAAGAAAACAATTGGTAACACACTAGGCCGTGAAGGACAGAAATCCTGCAGCGCCCGCAAGGTCCCCCTGCTCAAGAAAGCACATATACAGGCCCGTCTGAAGTTTGCCAATGAACATCTGAATGATTCAGAGGAGAACTGGGTGAAAGTGTTGTGGTCAGATGAGACCAAAATGGAGCTCTTTGGCATCAATTCAACTCGCCGTGTTTGGAGGAGGAGGAATGCTGCCTATGACCCCAAGAACACCATCCCCACCGTCAAACATGGAGGTGGAAACATTATGTTTGGGGGTGTTTCTTTGCTAAGGGGACAGGACAACTTCACCGCATCAAAGGGACGATGGACGGGCCATGTACCATCAAATCTTGGGTGAGAACCTCCTTCCCTCAGCCAGGGCATTGAAAATGGGTCGTGGATGGGTATTCCAGCATGACAATGACCCAAAACACACGGCCAAGGAGTGACTCAAGAAGAAGCACATTAAGGTCCTGGAGTGGCCTAGCCAATCTCCAGACCTTAATCCCATAGAAAATCTGTGGAGGGAGCTGAAGGTTCGAGTTGCCAAACGTCAGGCTCGAAACCTTAATGACTTGGAGAAGATCTGCAAAGAGGAGTGGGACAAAATCCCTTCTGAGATTTGTGCAAACCTGGTGGCGAACTACAAGAAACGTCTGACCTCTGTGATTGCCAACAAGGGTTTTGCCACCAAGTACTAAGTCATGTTTTGCAGAGGGGTCAAATACTTATTTCCCTCATTAAAATGCAAATCAATTTATAAAAATTTTGACATGCGTTTTTCTGGATTTTTTTGTTGTTATTCTGTCTCTCACTGTTCAAATAAACCTACCATTAAAATTATAGACTGATCATGTCTTTGTCAGAGTGCAAACGTACAAAATCAGCAGGGGATCAAATACTTTTTTCCCCTCACTGTATTGTTTCACTTTCAAGTACAACATTTCTCTCCTGACACTTTTGCCACAACATTTGTACAAACAAGATAAACACCTGTTTTGAGGCCCACCTGTTTTGCTAAAAAAAAATATTTATATACATTTATATATACACACACACACACAGTGTCTTGCGAAAGTATTCACCCCCCTTGGCATTTATCCTATTTTGTTGCCTTACAACCTGGAATTAAAATGGATTTTTGGAGGGTTTGTATAATTTTTTTACACAACATGCTCATCACTTTGAAGATGCAAAATACTTTTTTTTGTGAAACAAACTAGAAATAAGACAAAAAAACAGAATACGTGAGCGTGTATAACTATGTCTGGCGCAAACCCAACACCTCTCATCACCCCGAGAACACCATCCCCACAGTGCAGCATGGTGGTGGCAGCATCATGCTGTGGGGATGTTTTTCCATTGGCAGGGACTGGGAAACTAGTCAGAATTGAAGGAATGATAGATGGCGCTAAATACAGGGAACTTCTTGAGGGAAACCTGTTTCAGTCTTCCAGAGATTTGAGGCTGGGACGGAGGTCCACCTTCCAGCTGGACAATGACCCTAAGTATACTGCTAAAGCAACACTCGAGTGAATTAAGGGGAAACGTTTAAATGTCTTGGAATGGCCTAGTCAAAGCCCAGACCTCAATCCAATTGAGAATCTATGGTATGACTTAAAGATTGCTGTACACCAGCGGAACAAATCCAACTTGAAGGAGCAAGAGCAGTTTTGCCTTGAAGAATGGGCAAAAATCCCAGTGGCTAGATGCACCAAGCTTATACAGACATACCCCAAGAGACTTGCAGCTGTAACTGCTGCAAAAGGTGGCTCTACAAAGTATTGACTTTGGAGGGGGGGGGGGATAGTTATGCACGCTCAAGTTCTGTTTTATGTCTTATTTCTTGTTTGTTTCACAATAACAAATATTTTGCATCTTCAAAGTGGTAGGCATGTTGTGTAAATCAAATGATACAACCCCCCCCAAAATCCATTTTAATTCCAGGTTGTAAGGCAACAAAAAAGGAAAAATGCCAAGGTGGGTGAATACTTTCGCAAGCCACTGTATATTCCCCCCCTAATGTATCCTACGGTTCTGACTTGGTGTACAGGGAGAATACTGTTAAAACTAGCCCATGTTCTGAATTCTGTCGCTGTACATTTCAAAAGTGCTGAACAAATAGTTATATTGACTATGTCCTTCCTAGCTCGCTCATTAATGTCTTAATTTAAATTACGGATTGCCTCTTATCCGATCGTCGTCCCCTTATGCCACAGTTTGTACATCAATTGTCAGTAGAAACCACATTTGTTTAAGCAAGTCAGCAACATCAGCTATGTTTTTTAAAAGGCAGTAAATGAGGCTGAATGAACTATTTCACTGCCAGACAAGGCTCTGCTGATAGCGAGGTGTAGCAGTGGTAAGGATTCACTCCATGGTGCTGAAAAAAAAAGCTCTGCTGTTGGGACAGCTTTATTTAGGCCATAACAGTTTGTGGGCACCGTTTGTCACATTTATAGTGCAATTAATGTATTGTTTAGTGTTTTGTTGTCTAATGGATTTGCTGGCATGCATAAAAAAACAAGGAGAGTTTACCCCACCAAGATTCATATGCTAAAATCGCCACTGGTCAATTAACATTCTAATTATTTGTCGCTAGGTAAACATGTCTAGGCGAGAAGAAATAATAGCAAGCAAGCATGGGCTTGGATCACGACATAATGACAGACGTCGTCAGCAATGGAATTATTATACCGACAGACAAAGTAGGCCTACCAAACACCGCCAAGTAGATAGACAAAAACAACCATATGACATTTACATTTAAGTAATTTAGCAGACGCTCTTATCCATAGCGACTTACAAATTGGTGCATTCAACTTAGGATAGCCAGTGGGACAACCACCCTTTTTTTATTTTCTTTTTTTAATGGGGGGGTGGGGGTAGAAGGATTACTGTTATACTATTCCAGGTATTCCTTAAAGAGGTAGGGTTTCAAGTGTCTCCGGAAGGTGGTCAGTGAATCCGCTGTCCTGGCGTCGTGGGGGAGCTTGTTCCACCATTGGGGAGCCAGCAAAGTCGACAGGAAATAACTAAATTGAACAACAATGACTAGCTATGGACCGTACACGATGTTTGGAGAGTGGGATACGTCTGCCCTGAGACGAGTGAGTGAGTGAGTGAGTGAATGAAACAGAGCCGCGCGTATGTCTGTATTGGGCAATGAGCGCAGAGGGAGAGCGGCTTGTTCTAATCCAATCGTTGCAGCAGGCTCAATCGATACCCCCTCCCGTTTCTTTACAGACAGAAGAACTAGCCAATAGTTGTTTAGAGCACATAGCGCGTCACACTGTTTGAGTGAAAGAGAGATGTATG